TCCTATAGTACAATGTATACCAGGGGTCGGCAACGTTTGGCACGCGGCTCACAAGGGTAAACACCCTGGCGGGCCGGGCCAGTTTATTTACTGCTGACGCGGCAGGTTCGGCCGATTGCAGTCCCCACTGGCTGCAGTTCGCCATTCCGGGCCAATGGGGATGGTGAGAAGCCGCGGCCAGCACATCCCTCGCCCGTGCCACTTCTCGCCACTTCCATGGGCCCGGGACGACGAACTGCGGCGAGTGGCGTGATCAGCCAAACCTGCTGTGTCAGCAGGTAAATAACTGGCCCGGCCCGCCAGGGTGCTTACCCTTGTGAGCCGCGTGCCAAACGTTGCCGATCCCTGGTCTATAGGTTGCCACAGGACTCTTTGTCGCTTTTTACAGATCCAGACTAACATGGCTACCCCTCTGATACTATACACTGACAGTAAAGGTGCATGTGAGTGGGAGATGTCAGAACACTCTATAATAAATCAAGTGGCAAAGTATTCTTTACATTTTAAAATAGTAATAATACTTTGCCCTTAGATAGCACCTTCCACTCAAGGCTCTCAAAGCACTTGACAAACATTAATGGATTCAGCCTCACATTGATGCTTTGAGGCTTAGGAGAGCATTGTTATCCCTATTTTATAGGAGGCTATACTGAGGCACAGAGAAGTGAAGTGACTTTTTGGAGGTTGTTCATGAAGGCTGTGTCAGAGCAGGGTAGAGAACACAGATCTCTGCTTCCCATCCTGTAGATGAATTACTGCATTTTCCATGCTCCTTGAATAGTTTTTTATGCTTTTGTTACTTCTGCCTCTGTCTTTTTAGGCTGGAGATACTCCAACTCAAACTACTATCTGGGCCAGAACCCTTGCTCCATGCAGGTGAGTTGGGCAAAAGGGGCTTTAAGCCACTTTTATGCTATCGTGATCATTCAGGGCTCACATGGGCAGGTTTAAGCTCAAGTCTAAATTAGAGGAGCCTCCAGAGTGCTGTAATCCACACTGGCCTGTAATGGGTCCCTACCGGTCATTGCACTGGCGGGGTAATTGCTGGTACAGTGTGTTGTGACTGTGCTCCCTCCCATGCCTCTCACATCCCCTGTGCTGGAGGTGTCAGGAGAGATGGTGGAGGAGAGCTAGCCCCATACTTGGGAATCCCCAGATACCTTTCTAAGGCTATGTCTACACTGCATGCTTCTTTCGGTGATGTGTAGAGTATGTACTCTGGGTAGCCCATCAGCATAGGTTTAAGGAGCAGTGTAGATAGTGGGGCACGGCTTAGGCAAGTAGAGTTCAGATATGCTTGAAGGTTGTGGATATGTACCTGAGTACATATCCTACATGGCTCTCTACCCCCCGAGCCATTCCTCCCCGTCTACATTGCTGTTGTTAGCCATGTGTTGTCCCGCTACCTCCCAGCTGCTGGAGCCTTTCCTCACTGCTGGAAAAGGTTCGGGCAGCTTCCCACTTCTAGAACCTTCCCCTTGCCAAAGGGAAAGACTCTGGCAACTCCCTGCTGCTGGATCCATTCCCCACTCCAGCGGCAGGGGAAGGCTCTGGCAACTGACCGTGCCACCACAAGTAGTGTGTAATGTAGACGTAGCCTAAGACAGTTCTATGGCTCCTGTGTGCTACTCTGGTGGTAGAAAAGAGCCTTTTTGGAGGATAGTCCTCCATTTGTAAGGACAGTAAATGCACAGAACGGGATAGCAGTGAAGCTGTGCAATGCTTGACAGTTTCAATTCACATGGTCTCAAGTGGCCATTTTCTTTGTTTTCACTCCATATGAGCTCACACCCTCTGAGTTTTACTTCAAATTCTGGCCACTAAACTGGAGAGGAATCCTTGGATAGCCTAGAGCAGGAGTCGGCAACGTTCGGCACGTGGCTCGCCAGGGTAAGCACCCTAGTGGGCCGGGCCAGTTTATTTACCTGCTGACGCGGCGGGTTCAGCCGATCGCGGCCCCCACTGGCCGCGATTTGCCATCCTGGGCCAATGGGGGTGGCGGGAAGCCGCGGCCAGCACATCCCTCGGCCTGCGCCGCTTCCCGCCGCCCCCATTGCCCCGGGACGGCGAACCGCAGCGAGTAGGGGCCGCGATCGGCCAAACCTGCTGCGTCAGCGGGTAAATAGACTGGCCCGGCCCGCTAGGGTGCTTACCCTGGCGAGCCACGTGCCGAATGTTGCCGACCCCTGGCCTAGAGGTTTTTATGCCCCACCATCCCCATGCCAACCCTTGACTGCTAACATAGAAGGTATAGCCAAAAGAAAGGGACCAATCACCAGGGTATCCCTGCAGCCAGCAGCTGGAACAAAATAGAGCAGCCACTGAGTTGCTCTAATATTCTCTGAGGCCTGGACCCACATGGAGTGACCCTTAGACAAAAGATCAACTTTGCCCTCTCTTGCTCCCTTTGTGACCTCCGTCCTCAGGTGCACTAATCACTCTTTAACTTCAGCTGAGGGGTTGGCCTATTATTTATCATTTGTTAAGCATTGATGATGTGTTTGATGCTGAGCACGACCCAAATATCGCCACAGTTTCTGCCCTTATAGAGCTTGTGCTGTAGAGGTGAGAGTGTAAGACAAGACCCAGAGCATGGCAGTCATTTGAAATTATTTGATTGTACTTCTTTTTCCTGTCATGGTCCTGGTAATTTTTCATTTTGGAAGCAAAGAGTCTGTGGGAGGGATTTGCATGAGTAGATGGTACATGGATTTTGGGAGGGCAATTCCTGCATATGGAACAGCTTTGGAATAGGCATGAAAGATGGGAGTGGGATAAAGAAATAAGGGTTCATACGTGCAGCTGTTTCTGAGGTCAGTGGTAGTTTTGTACATGTGTATCCGAAAGCAGCCTTGATTGTGGCTCATATGTGCAGCACTGCACGTTGGACTGCATTTTATTGCTCTGACCAGAACCTTATCTTTCTTCCATAAGGGAAATACCTGCTGTGCTTTACAGATCTCAGTGACAGTCTCACTTTCTCAGCACAGAACTAATATATCAAGCTAAGTTACTCCCATGGTGTGTTGCAAAACCTATATAATATTGAGTAAACATTGTTGGCTTATACATTAACTGTCACTAACACCCTGTGCAAACTTTATTCTGGCCACATGAATTTCCTTTAAGGGGTGGCTAAGAAAAGGGTGCTTTTATTTTCCAAGGAAAGCTGGCTCTTAAACTTGACAGATCTGTTAATTTTAAGTCAGACTAGAGGGGTAGGTCTTTCATTGCTCATATTACCAGTTAAGGGATTTCTGCTTGGCTCATTTGATCGACTCCTTTCTGTTGTCAAGATTCTATAGCATTATTTAATGCTTGATTTTTTTTTATCCTACCTATGGTGTGAAAATCTGCCTAATCAAAGGAAGGCAGAATATAAAACATAGGGCTGGGAAGCTCTCTTGGTTTTGGAGGCTTGGTAGGCTGGCATTCCTTCTTTCCGCTGACCCTTAAGAACAACAAAGTGCTATCAGGTTTTGGATGCTCTTCTAGGCAAGAAAACAAAATATTTAATACTTTGCATTTATGTGGAACCATTTCTTTGAGGATCTTAACATACTTTATAAACATGAATTATTTAAGCAACAAAATGCCCCTATAACGGAGGCACTTTAAAAAGGAACCATACCAGGATATAAACACCTCACTAGAATATTATTTATATTAGGTATAGGAAAGGATCACAGTTTGTTACTGTATATGTTAATATTGTGGTAATGCAAGTGTCTGGGTTTTTTAAGGTTATCCACGCGAAGTATAATTAGACCATTTGACCGTTAGATAGGCTAGGGAGGTTAAGTGCTTGTTCCAGGATCACACAGCCGAACACTGGTAACTAGGAATATAGAAAACATTATTACTGAGTCTCAGTTAGTTATTAGTTACTAACTCCCTGTGTTACACCTCTGATTATGGTTCCCCTGGAACAATACTGTCCTGACTGCCAAACTCACTGAGTGACACTGGGAATTTTATAGTTCTGCTGAAGGTAATTCATTTGGTACCATCAGATACTGGATACATCTAGTTCAACCACCTCTAAACAAAACACATATCTTGTTTGAGGATTGCTCAGGTAACCTGTGACTATTCAAGTAACAAGGCCTTGCTGACAGAAAGCACTAGTCCAGGGGTCGGCAACGTTTGACACGCAGCTCGCCAGGGTAAGCACCCTAGCGGGCCGGGCCAGTTTATTTACCTGATGATGCGGCAGGTTTGACCGATCGCGGCCCCCACTCGCCGCGGTTCGCCGTCCCGGGCCAATGAGGGCGGCGAGAAGCGGTGCGGGCGAGGGAT